GGTCAGTTTCAGCAGCGGCTGAATCTGGATGCCAGTTCCGACTTACATACAGATTCAACTTAAGAACAAACCTACAGTCCCTATCTTGTACGTAACCCGGGGACTGCCTGTACTTTTCTGTGGTTACTGAGCTATTCATTACAAAACTGCTTCTTTGGAGCCACTGACTACAATGATGCGGTTTGCTGGGCGGTTAGCCCCTGGCAGGCTGCTGGTGCTTTATTTACCTGTGCATCTGCAGGATTCACCATTCTCAGCCAATGGGAGCTGCGAAATGTGGCACAGCTCAGGACACTGCTTCCCGCATTTCTCATTGGCTGGAAATGGCGATCCACAGCCAAATAGGGCTGCAAGCAGCTGTACCTGTGGAGATGCAGGTATATAAAGCACCGGCAGCCCAACAGGGGCTAACCTTGGCAAACAGGATCTGGCCCAAGGGCTACTTATTGCCCACCCCTGCATTAAACTAACAGCAGTGACTGATGAAGAGACTTAAGATTAAAGTAATTTTATTGTACATTAGGAACATTAGAACATAAGAATGGCCATAGTGGGTCGAACCAAAGGTCCATCTAGCTCAATTGCCTGTCTGCTGACAGTAGTCAGCACCAGGTGCCCCAGAAAGGGTGGACCAAAGACAATGATCAAGTGATTTGTCTCCTGCCATCCTTCTCCAGCCTCTGACAAACAGAGGCCAGAGACACATTTCTATCCCCTGGCTAATAGCCTTTTATGGACCTAACCTCCATACATTTATCCAGCTTCTCTTTAAACTCTGTAATAGTCCTAGCCTTCACAGCCTCCTCTGGCAAGGAGTTCCACAGGTTGACTACACACTGTGTGAAGAAGAACTTTCTTTTATTAGTTTTAAACCTGCTACCCATTAATTTCATTTGGTGTCCTCTAGTTCTTCTATTATGGGAACTAATAAATAACTTTTCTTTATCCACCCTCTCCACACTACTCATGATTTGATATACGTCTATCCTATCCCCCCTCAGCCTCCTCTATTCTAAACTGAAAAGTCCCAGTTGCTTTAACCTCTCTTCATATGGAACCCGTTCCAAACCCCTAATCATTTTAGTTGCCCTTTTCTGAACCCTTTCCAAAGCCAAAATATCTTTTTTGAGGTGAGGAGACCACATCTGTACACAGTATTCAAGATGTGGGCGTACCATAGTTTTATACAGGAGCAGAAAGATATTCTGGGTCTTATTTTCTATCCCTTTCTTAATAATTCCTAGCATCCTATTTGCCTTTTTGACCGCTGCTGCACACTGTGTGGAAGTTTTCAAGCTATCCATGATAACTCTAAGATCTCTTTCCTGATTTGTCATAGCCAAATTAGCCCCCATCATACTGTACATATAGTTGGGGTTAATTTTCCCGATGTGCATTACTTTACACTTATCCACATTACATTTCATTTGCCATTTTGTTGCCCAATCACTCAGTTTGGTGAGATCTTTTGGAGTCCCTCACAATCTGCTTCTGTCTTGACTATCCTAAACAGTTTGGTATCATCCACAAACTTTACCACCTCACTGCTTACTGCTTTCTCCATTGATTTTATTTTATTGGTCTTATGTGTGGCAGTGGCTCCACTTGTTCCAGTATCAAGTTTCCTTTTGAGAACAGCACAAGCAGTACCATGGCAGTACAAGCTTCCATCCCTCATTCCTGAGCAGAATTTTTTAAGTTATGGGAGACTAGTTGAGTCAATGCCCACTCAGTCATTTCTTTCTCCACCAAGACAGACATTAAAAGGAGACCATTAATGAAAATAATTAGCAGGAATTCCATTTTCGCTATTGCAGTGTGCAGATTTTCCATTTGTTAATACTTTTTTGATCTGGGGATTTCACTGACTTGTTTAATTGGCAAACTGAGTCAATTTTGTTAATTATTGTGATGTGCAAGTGCTCGAGGGGTGCATTTTACAAACCAAATCTAAAAAAAAATAATACATGACAATATGCAGCACTACATACACTACTGAAAACTGCAAAATCAACTTGCCTGTGTCATGTTTCCCTTCTTTCCTCAGTCTCCAAGATCCTGCCAGAAAACATTATAATTAAACAGTTGCATTTCAAGTTACTTTCATTGTCAGTTAGTTTATTTTGTTCTGTTTTCTTTTCTCCAGCCATATGTCTAGAGTTTTTGATTTCTAAATGACCTTGGTCAACTCTCCCAGCCATGCTTGTAGGCCAAAAGTTTTAAAAGGAAACATTTTAAATTAAAGGTCACGTGAGTACAACTTGGAAAAAAACCATCTGCATTTTGCTTTTCAGATATCCTTTGGTGATCTGAAAACTTCGACAGATGTTCATGAGAAAAATCTTTGCTGCTTGAAAATTTTCCCCACAAAGAATGCCATCACTTTGCAAAGATACAAGAGAGTTTGATAGTGTGAGAATATGTCAGCTTCAGGCATGTATTTATAATTCATGACTTTGTGCAGCTAAAGAAGCAGGATAAAATAATGTCTTCTTTATTCAACTGGCCTCATGCAAGTGAAATGTCTGTCATTTCAAAAGATGTCACTCTTTTTGGTCCCAAAGGTACCTGCAACTACAGAAATGTGGGTCCCTCACTTTTATTGTTGAAAATTATATGCATTAGAAATGCATAATAATAAACGGCATTTATAGAATTATTTACATTATAGAAATTATTCTTGCAACACTTTGTTTCTTGCTTGAATTATCTTTGCATAACCTTCATCTTGGGTGTTAGTCACAAATTATGTCATACATTTAGGTATTGGGAAATTATGAAGTATAGGTAAAACAACAGAATGAACATCTTAATCGTATAATAGTGTATTTCTCAATACTATGCCATTAAATGATCCCACACCAGGAAAGCCTCCATACCCAGGCAAACATTTAAGTACAAGTTTAACTTAAAGCACATGCTTAAGTGGCATTGAAGTTCATGGGTCTTAAGCATATGCTTAAAGTTAAAATACAGACCTGAGTTCTAGCCAATGTGATGACAATGCACTCATTCAAAATTTAGACCCATAAAGTAACAGAACAGCAAAGTTCCTTTACTATACTGCAAAACATAGAATCATAGAACCATAGAGCTGGAAGAGACCTCAGAAGGTCATCAAGTCCAGCCCCCTGCCCTAGGCAGGACCAATCCCAACTAAATCAACCCAGCCAGGGCTTTGTCAAGCCGAGACTTAAACACCGCTAGGGATGGAGACTGTTAAAACATGATACTGTTTAAAAAAATAATTGCCATTATAAATGTTGACCATAGTGAACTGTTTCAGGACTAATCATTCTTTTCTCATAGGATCTAAATTACAGTGATTGTTGTGCTTCTCTCACAGAGCTAGTGTAGTACAGGAGAGAGGGAAAAGGACTGGACTCAGGAGACCTGAATTCTTCTCCTCCTCCATCAGCCCTAGATGCTGGGTGACCTTAGCCAAGCTGCTCCTCATCTCTGTCCCCCCAGGAGATGGAGAACTGTGATTTCAAACCAAGAAAATCAGGCTTAGCCAGCTGGTTTGTAAAAGTATTAGGTCAGTCTCATGTGTTCTGGGAGTCTGAGTTGCCAGCCCTGATTTGGGGGGGGAAGCAAGCATGATCTTCTAACCTTATGTCTTCTTGTAAAATTGGTATCTGTGATGACTTAGCAGATCCTCACCCTTTGGTAACAAGTGCTGTATCCCACTACCATGACAAATCTGCATAATGGGAGCGGGAGGTGGATCTACCACTGATTCCAACAGCAAGAGAAGAACCTGGAGGAAATAAAGGAAGAGGGGGGAATTAATACAAAGTGGTTCTAAAATGTAAACATAGATTTTAAAACACTATAAATCTTTGAAAAAGCTCTGTGGTCTTCAGAATTTTAAAAGAGGTTAAATTCTTGATTCACTCATATTGGATTACCACTCTTTTTGCCAGCTGTGGCAAAGAGCCTATACAGTAAAACCTCAGCATCACAACCTCATTAGGAAAGGAGGTTACTCATAACTCTGCAATGTTTGTAACTCTGAACAACTGTATACTTGCTTAATACAGCTTTGAAACTTTACTATGCAGAAGAAAAATGGCACGTACCCTTTATTTTTAGATAACACAATATTGTACTGTATTTGCTGTTGGGGTTTTTGTGTGTTTGTTTATTTGTGTGTATGTGTTTGTCTCTGCTACTGCCAGATTGTGTACTTCCAGTTCAAAATGGGGTGTGTGGTTGACTGATCAGTAACTCTGGTGTTTATAACGCTGAGGTTCTACTGTAGTAAAAACTAATGAGATTTATTGGGAATTAATGCCAAAGTAAAGATTAAAAATCATAACCAGTATCAATTAAATACTAGGAGTCTACCTAGAATTTAGTAGCTCAAATGCACAATTAATTCACCTGATTCATTTTGAGATTAAAACCTGAATTGCTTGATTTGTGTTTTCTTTATCTTTCATCCAAACTATAGTACTCTAGCTAGAAAAGCTATGGGCCAGATCCCCAGCTGGTGTAATCTGGCATAGTCCCACTGAATTTAAATGCTACATCAATTTACCCCAGCACCAAGGATCTCACCCTCTAACTTTAGTTGCTTCAACACTGCAGTTTTTGTACCTAGATACTTCGCAAGAGAATAAATGAAATTATTTCCGTGTTACTGCTGCGCTTAAAAATAAATCTGTTCAAAGATCCATTTGTGGATTTTATTTCCCTGTTCTTCTCCTAACTAGCGCATCAGATAGCTTTAAATCCAGACTTCTGTGGGCATTTGAACAGAGGAGATAATCCCCATTCCACTCAGCTTGCAAGGCCAGAGTAGCTGGCATTCTTTGTTTTTCTATGCTGCTGAATGTGAATAGTTGCAATGGCCTCTTCAGTTGCTGTCCGGATTGAGAAACTGGGGTCCTTCCATCCTGTAATCAACGCAGCCATACTGACCTTTGTTTTGCTTAGATAGAGAATCTCTGCTACAAGCCACTAGATGGCACCTTAAGGACATTATTCTGCACATTATACTTGGCAGTTTAAACATTTCATCCTAAACTACTTGGTAAATTGCAGTACTGTGAGCTAAATGACCTCTACTGGGACTTACTCTAAATGTTCCCAGCTCCCAAGCATTGTTACACAGCTGAAAAAAATATTCCATCTTTCCACCATCATTCCCTACCCTGCCCCAGACCCATGCATACCTCCCCAAATCCTCTGAGACCCAGACAGTCAATGGGCAGTTAAAGAGTTAGGGTTTGATATTGCATAACCCTGCAGAGTTTAAACAGGAGTTTATACCATTGAAAGAGAAGATTCCCAGGATCCTGAGGGAAAACACAGCTCTTGGTTCTAGCCTGGGAACTGCTTGAGACATCAGTTTTTCAAGATTTGACAATGTGTGTCCAGAAAACCTATTTCGGGCAATATTTAGGGGAGTTTTACACACATTACTTAAACACCTCTTCTTTTTGTGTCTTACACAACTAGGCTAATAGTAGCTAAGGCACCTAGTTTTGTAAGTGGAGGGGTACAAAAATAATAAGTTGTAAGTTCTTTAGGGCAAGGAGTATGTATATGTTTGTACTAGAAGATTTACCCACTGTTGCTCGGGTCCTAAATCCAAATAAGTTTGGTTTTTCTTCATTTAAATCATTGCTCTGGGGTGGGGCTGGGAAGTAGGGATTCAATATGCAGGCTGCCCTGGGGGAGAGCCCTTGATAATTGCAGCAGCTTGGGGCCAGGTGAGAAGCACTTATCCATGACCACTGCTACTGCAGTGGGCACATTTGGGGGACAGGTGCATGTCCCCAAGGTGGAGGGCAGACAGACACACAAACCAACTCTCTGAAATATATCGTAGATATCTGTCTCTTTCTCCACCCCTGCTGGCCCAATGAGGGTATAGCTGTCCTGGTTCCCATCTCTAGCCCCTTGCTGCCTCCCTTTGGTCATTCTGCAGTATAGCTCCCTTCCTCCAGATCTCCCCCTTTCCATTTTATGAGGCCTTGTCTATACAGTACGTATGCAGAGATCGAATTCCAGACACATCCCATTATCTTGGCACAACTAAACCCTGACCTTGCTTTAAGTTATGATAAGAGGAAGCTGCATAGCAAATTTGGTGCTCCTAGTTTTTACCATTTAAGAGTTCTTGAAGAAAATTGACTCTCAGACATATGGGCAAATAGACAAACAGACAGACACACATTCATTTCTAAAATACATCATAAGATAGCACTAGACCAATCAGGCCCTCACCTGACTGAAACCTTCAAATGTTACTGCAATATGCTATTAAAATATTAATAGTGCTAGCAACAATTTTCATAACAATGTAGGGTAACAGGTCTTAGCTGATTAGCTAGTAAATAATTAACCAATATTTTAACCCAGAGGTGGGAACATGAAACCAATGCAATAAGAGAGCAGGAATTGTGTTTTTCTTTTGCTGTAGGTTTCAAGGCAGCAGGATTATGTAAACCGTAAAACACCATATGAAAGCTGATGATCTGCTGAAACCCATGGTTCAGTCTAACTATCTGTATCATTAGTGTACATGAAGTTTTGAGTTTTTCTGTTCTGAAAGAGCCTGTTAATTTGCTAGTGACATACAAAGAACCCCCACCCAGAAGGATGTTCAACAACCATTGTTCAGCAGAGGAGTTGTGATCAAGGGATTCACAAGTCAATGACAGTTGCTCAAGCATCACATAATGGAGACTGCTCAAACTGCATGACTCAGTTGTACAAGACCACACCAATGGCATTGTCCAACCCTGTGACACAGCAAAGCCCAACAGGACATGTCTGGGCAAATGCTCTAGGCACATAATCTAAGTCAGTGGTCCCCAGTGCGGTGCCCACGGGCACCATGGTACCCGCCGGGGCATTTATGTGCACCCGCCGAGTGACCAGGGCCGGCCCAAGCCATTCTTATGCCCTGGGCCCTGGGCGCACGGCGCATGTATGGCGGCGCAGGTGTGGCTCCCGCCCCCAGGCACGCGGCACGTGCGCAGCCCTACCCCCAGGCATGCAGCACGTGAGCAGCCCCACCCCCAGGTGCCCGGCAGCTCCAAAAGGATGGGGACCACTGGTAAGTATATAGAATAGGACACTATATATGGGCAGCGTGTTTTTGCTTTTCTCCTTCTCCGCCTACACTGGAAGCTACTGGAATGCTAAGCAGCTTAACGATATCGTTAAGGGAAAGCCTGTGTATTAAGAACTTTGATATCCAGTAGGATGAGAAAATTGCCTAGAGGTAGGTTTAAGATTTAGAGTATGTATTTTTCCTTGGTTTTCTTGATAACTTTCTTGGAACTTTTATTCTCACCATTTTATAATCCCTTAAAGTCTATCTTTCTGTAGTTACAAAATCTGTTTTACACGTTACCTAAAATAAAGGGAAAGCCTGTGTATTAAGAACTTTGATATCCAGTAGGATGAGAAAATTGCCTAGAGGTAGGTTTAAGATTTAGAGTATGTATTTTTCCTTGGTTTTCTTGATAACTTTCTTGGAACTTTTATTCTCACCATTTTATAATCCCTTAAAGTCTATCTTTCTGTAGTTACAAAATCTGTTTTACACGTTACCTAAAATAGTATGTTTTGCTTGAAGAGTTTAGGATGCCTCAGCTCAGGTACAAAAGCTGGGGCATGTCTTCTCTCTATTGAGGGAGGGGTGGACTCAGTTATAAGCTTACACTGGTCAGTTTTTCGACTATGGCAAGAAAGTCCAAGGGTACAAGGCTGGACAGCTGGTGGAATTGGCTGGAGCTTCTCTATTGTTAGTTCATGAGGCTAGGAGATGCACAGTTAGTTTATTGATAGAAATGTAGCCGTGTTTGTCTGGGGATAGCAGAAGCAAAATGCAGGACAATGTAGCACTTTAAAGACTAACAAGATGGTTTATTAGATGATGAGTTTTCGTGGGCCAGACCCACTTTCTCAGATCAAATAGGAAGTGGGTCTGGCCCAGGAAAGCTCATCATCTAATAAACCATCTTGTTAGTCTTTAAAGTGCTACATTGTCCTACATTTTGCTTCAGTTAGTTTATTGTTAGACTGGGGGGACATTCATGTAACATAGCATGCGTCCCTGCCTGTGGATATCTGGTTAAGTGCAGTACCTACCAGACTGCCAGAGGTTTGCCTCTTGTCACAGCTGTACAGTGTGAGAGGGAGCCCATATTAGAGTGACAGAGAGCTCAATTGTCTCACAGTTCAGGCGGCACCCGAGGATCCTGTTACAACTCCCCACATCTCCCTCCTTCTGGCATTCTATTGCATGTCTCTACTCCCAGAATGTAATTTATCACCTCATTAAGTATCTGTCATTTCATCACAGAGCCCACACTTGACTCCCATTGAGAGTTAATCCCCTTTCCCTTTCCCTTCCCCTTCCCCATACAGTTAAGGAGTTCTGTTCTGTGGAGGGAACATGATTAGGAACATTCATTGGGTAGGTTTATTCCCCATGGAACTGCGTTCTCCTTTGCTGTTACATTCTGTCCTGAAGCAGTTCATGACATTAGCTGTTTAGACTTCCCTGACTCAACTACTTCTCCATTGAAAACACAGAAATCCTGAAAACCCTCCAAACCACCTCTTCGATTCATTCTCTGGTCTGAGTCACTTTGGCTAATGGACATACACAGTTCTTAATCTGTAATGAAAGTGGTAACAAGGCTCATGTAATTAGGTGCTGAGGCCTAAGCAATTGTTTCATTTTCATAACTAACCAATCATACCCCACCACCTTAATTGATTTACACGTAGCAA